AGGAAGGAAGGAAGGAAACTGTTATCTTTACCTTGGACTGTAGGCTTTAGAAGTGTAAGAATTATTTGTTTAGGGGTATAATTTTTATATGCAAGTCAGTAATTCTTCAGTACTTTGTTTGGTAAGCTGAAAACTAATTGTAGTCACCAACCAATATTAGGATTATGGGAAAGAAAGTAAGTTGGGGGAGAGAAGTTAAAAACGAAAGAGTTTGATAGGTATTATATTGAGTTTGTATTTTCTGTGTTATATCCAGATAAAAATGTTTGAGATGTTCAAACGGCTTTGAAAGTAAAAGACAGAACTGGGTTAGTGGTACAGATTTGGATTGCATTGCTAAATAAGTGACATATTAACTTCAGGATTGGATAAGATCATTTAAGCAATATATGTTAAAGTAAGAAAATCATGAAAAAATACAATATAACAGCATTGCGGGAAAAACTAAAGAAGAGGAAAATAATCATAAAAATGAGATGAAGACAGAAAGCTCACAATTTCTCTTCATTTTATTCTGGTTTTAATTATAATTAATAAAATACATGATAGCCTTGGCACTCTGAGCATTCTTATATAATAAGACACAGGTTCATCTTCATTTCAGACTCTCCAGCACCCAGGAAAGTACCTGATACTTAATATTCCTGCAATAAATCTTTGTTTAATTGCATGGAATTGACATTAGAACTTTGTTCCCTCTTTTGCTCTGTTTGCTTATTTCTGGAGTGTGCAGCATGCATTGCCTCTGGTATTTTAAGTTCGTAGTGAAAAATCATTTCAATGTGTCCTAGGCTTGATCCCCTTCCAACCCAACCCCCACGACAATAGTTTTCATTATACCCTTCTGTGTTTGCCATTCTGGATAGAATTCTGTGCACAGAAGTTATATACATATATGAGTATATCTATGTAACAAATCGCAGCACAGGAGCCCCCTGGGCTCCCTCTGCTTCTGGTATGACATATTTGAGCCATATAAATTCAGCATCTCCTCTGGCATCTGTTAGCCGACTCACTTGCAACTCCACCTCAGCAGTGGTCTCTCAGTCCTCTCAAGGCAGGGAAAGAGCATCGTGTGCTGGGAGACCATGGCAAAGACTCCTCCAGAGAACTGTGAGGACTGTCACATTCTAAATGTAAGTTGATTCATATATTTCCCTTTTGAGCAGAAGCGTGGTTTCCCAGATTTATCGTATTGCGAAGTGAGCATTAGAAAGTGAAATAGAAGGAGACTTTGAATTATGGCTTGCTTTTTTGAGAGTTATTGTGTATTGTTTCATTCTTTCTGCTCTTTGCTTAGGCAGAAGCTTTGAAATCCAAGAAGATATGTAAATCACTTAAGATTTGTGGACTGGTATTTGGTGTCCTGGCTTTAACTCTAATTGTCCTGTTTTGGGGGAGCAAACACTTCTGGCCGGAGGTATCTAAGAAAGTAAGTAACAGAAAAGTATCCAGTATTTCTTTTCTGAGACTGATTGAATTTAACTAGTGATTTACATGTAAATTAATCTGAAAGTGAAAACTCTCTTAATGTTTTTTTATTCATTTGGGAGAATAGAAAATAGAATCAAGGTTTTTCTTTCATTTGCTTATTTAGGGTGAGGGGAAATTGTGTGTTCTGCATTTTGGTTAGTAGTGACAGGAGGTAAATAATTTACTCACTCCTTTATGGTTGACTTTAAGGAGTTAAATCTCCTGAAAACTTTTTTTTTTGTACTGTAAGATAGAAAAAAATACTTTCCATCTTCCATTATCTGGGCAGAAACTGATGGAAAAGTAACCAGACAACCACATAAGAAAAAAACCACCCTAAATGGTAGCAAATGATTTTCAGTGATTATGTTCTGACTTAACACATCTGCTGTGAGGACAGACAGCAATGTCCTTTTTAAAAGAAACAATTATCATATCTGAGTGCAGAATTATTTGTTGCTTAACCAGAACTAGAGCCTTTCAGCTACTCAGCAGTCACAACCACTGTCCCAGTGACACAGTAATGCCGTAGGTAAATACAAGCAACACAAAATCAGTAATCACAGATCTGTCAGAAACCTTCTAATATTGAAGTCATTTGGAGAAGCTTAGTTGCCATTGTAGCTTGTATCCCCATGCTCCCACGTTATTGTTATTCCTGGGCTCCCATGCAATTGGCAAGTTTAGATGTGACCCAAATAAAAATCATAGTCCTTTCTTCTTAAGAATTTCCATTTGAATGACAATTAGATGAACTAAAGCCAATGAAGATGGGTTCCTGGCTTTGACATATCTCTCTTTCTTTCTTTGTGGGTCATTGTTGTTGCTGCAGCTCCTGCAGGTGTTGCTGTTAATCTTTTTTTTTTTTTTTTTTTTTGTCATGAGATCCTCATATCTACTTGGTAGCAGATGTAAGAAAGGAAAGAAAAAGATCCAGGAGGGAAAATGAGACAAGAAGAAAATAGGTTGGCATGGACCATTAGGAGCCAAAGAAGCAATAGGAGCAAAGAGTTCATGGGGAAAGAGAGACGAAGGAGGAGAAAAAGAAAATAAATTTCCTAAGTGTCCAAACAAAAACAGTCGTAGCTACCTTGGGATACTCCACCTCTGCTGCAATATCTGTTTGCATTTATTTATCAAAGGATACCTTATAAAGCTTAAGTGGGAAGGAGAGCAAACAAGCCTACTTATTTGTTTGCCTTTTTATTTACATCATGTTCCAGAAAGGTTTTCGGGCATCACCAGCTCCTATTAGCCCAACCCCACTGCCCTACTGTTTTTGAACTATTTACTATTCAGATGTCTTTCTAGAGAATCCAATTATGTTAAGGCTAGCAAGGTATGCAAAGCAACCAACATCAGAAAACTAACCAAGAGTCAATATTCATTCCAGTACAATAACTTACAGTATCACTTAGCTTTTTCCTATAGTGATATGCTACCCCCAAAGTTGGAAATTATATGAGTACAGTACCATAAATCATTTCAGTCACTGCAAGTATAATGCCTTCATTGGATATGGTTAGGTACCTAATCTTTTTGACCATTCATAGATACCTGTCTGAACACAGCCTTTTTTGTTTTCTTGTATTCAATGGCACTATAAATGTCATTCTACCAGTATTAGTGTGTTTTTCTAATCTTACAGTGGCATTTGCCTCAATGCCATAATAAATGACTCAGGAGATCTTGCCTTTGTCTTGTAAAAATTCATACTTCCTACCTGCATTCTTGATCTCCCTTACTTTCTGATTATGTTATTTTGTTTCCCATTCCAGTTCTTTTAAATGTGATTTCAAAAAATAACTTCCTAATTTCTGAAACCAACCAAACAAAAAAAGCTCAGTTTGTGCATACATGTGGGATATACTGCTTGTTAAAGTTTATTTTAAAAGACAAAAAAAAAATTAAAGCTCCCATGAAGTAATTTGTCTTAGGATATACATTTTCACCAAAATGAGCGTAAATGAGGACTCAAAGTTATTATGAGGGTATGGAGATAAAAGACGTTATGTAGCCAGGCATAGTAGTGCACTCCTTTAATCCCAGCACTCAGAGAAGCAGAGGATGGTGGATTGCTGCCAGCCTGGTCTACAAAGCCATTTCAGGACAGCCAAGGCTACACAGAGAAACCCTATCTCAAAACAAACAAACAAACAAAGACATTAAGTTGTTCTACCATGAACAAATACTATTTATTTGCTATTCAAAGTGGAAGTTTCAATATACTGTCTTTCATATATGAGTCCTGGCCTTCACCACAAAATTAGGTTGGGAACAAAATCAGAAGTATGGATTCTTTATTCAGTCAAGTACTACCTTCTAAGTCCCAAACAAGGGTCTTGGGAGGCTAGCCATGTTCCTGTGACCAAGACTGACTAGGCCTGCATCCTAGTAGTTAAGAATCCAGATTAGTCTAGGAAGAATATTTTCAGAGGAAAATGATCGAAATATCTTTTACAAATTTAAGCCTCTCTCCGTAAGAGTACGGGCTGTTATGAAACTCTGATTAACAAAGTAAAACCCACAGTCTTCTGGACTTTGCTTTAATTGCCTGTGGGATTAGTACGGCCTTTGGTAGAGAGATTTATTGATGCTTTTGTGCTTATTGATTGTAGTGATACCTGTGTTGTCCTGGGGCTTTCTCTAAGCTTTCAGTATTTGCTCTTCCAGCCCCCACAACACTCCTTTGTGTTTTCCTTTTCAACATCTGTTTATAATAAACAGTGCTTATTTAACATTCTACATCTGGTGTTGACATTTCCATGCTATTTCCATGTTTTTCCCTTCCCTCCCATCTTCATATGCAGAAAAGATTCAGATTCCTGATCTCAAAAGGGAGTAAGCAGTATTTGATTCTTAGTATACCTCAAGCATGCTTGTGAGCGCGCGCACACACACACATACACACACATCCAGGAGAAAAGTAAGTCAAAATTAAAGGACAATCAACTCTGAGTGAGCTGCTGTTCTTCTTTCCAGACCCTAGGCTTCCTGAACCACAGCCATACGTAGGTGATTTGAAGAGACGCAAGGAAAGCCAAGTCCATAAGGCTCTGTGTTCAGATTTCCTAACCAAGCAAGTTTCAGAGACTTTGAGGGGGCACCATGTTGAGGAGCCACGTCTAAGCAGGCATCCTTAGGATGCATGAAGCAGGCTTGCTGCAAAAATACTCTTACTGAAAGTTACCTGTGTTCCAAATTGAACTTGAAAGAATTAGAAGCCAGTTCCTCAATTAATCAAAGCAACATGAAGAAAACAAACCAGAAACTCTTAAACCACCAGTTTATAAACACAGCACAGATTTTGTACACCATCCTTCCAAATCTTTATGGAATGAGACAGAAACATAAGTTATTTAAAAGAAATGTTGTGCTTCCTAGCATACATCAGAACTATGTGGTGAATTATTTTAGGGCTGCTGGGAAGTGATAACCCCCTCCCCAGCAATCAGCATATTCTTGAAGATGCTCCTTCAAATTCCACATTATAGCTGCACAAGATGAGAGGTAATGGATCATGAAAATAGGCAAACATTTGGTCTTACCCATGTGACCTCAATTGCAGAAGACCACTGAAACAGTCTCATTCATGTTTCACACCCAAGAGCATTTTCTAAGCTGAAAATCCTTTGTACAAAAGAAGTACTTCCTTGCCAAGTCTTAACCCAAACTTTCCTCATATTTTTCTACTACTAGAATTAGCCCCAGGCCAACTTTTTTCATTCATTTCTAGGCACACAATGGGACAGTTCTTTTCTCTAGATTGCATAGGCACTTAACACTACAGTCTGATGGTTGAAACATAGCACTGGAGAAGGGAAAACTGAAAAGGTAGCTAGAATCTCTTAAGCAAGGGAACTGTGTTTCAACAGATGCTGCCACATCAGAATTTGGGAAAAGAAGGCATCTCTTCATTTTCTTTTCTTTGTGAGACCCAAATTTACCCATGTACAACAATCCTTACTGGGCCAGTTGTCATTTTGGACTATTCAGGGGTAGCTCTTACAAATTACATGATGCTGGATTCTGATTACCATAAAGTTGTATTTATTTCACTGAGTGCTTTTATCTGGCACAAGCTATATAGCCTTCAGACAGAGTTGTAGGGAGAAGGAGCCCAAGTGATCAACAGATAGCTGCAACCTAACATGCAACCTGAGAAGTACAGACCAAATGTGAGAAAAATTGGATTTCCCAACTACCCATAAGGGGATGCAGATCTGGGTGAGGTAGCACACACCTGTAATCTCAGCATTCATGAGGCAGGGAGATCTCTGTAAGTTTGAGGCCAACCTGGTCTACAAATCAAGTCCAGGATAGCCAAGGCTACACAGAAATCCTGTGTCAAAAAGCAAAAACAAAAAAGAAGAAAGGGGATGCAGGTAGGGACTGAACCCTCAGAGGCATTTAGTAAAGTCACAAAGTTTGTAGGTGGAAGGACTAACATTAGCACTAGAACTTTTTCTGAGGATTCTTTGCTGTTTTCCAACAAATTTGGGAATTGGGAAGAGGATTATGTATACAGGGAAACTTCCCAATTAGCTCATTTGTAAACAAAAGAAATGGCCTTTTCTTTCTTTTCCTTCCTTCCTTCCTTTCTTGCTTTCTTTCTTTCAATCATTCTTTCCTTCCTTCCTTGTTTCTATCTTTCTTCCTTTCTTCCTTCCTTCTTTCCTTCCTTTTTTTCTTTCCTTCCTTCTTTCTTTCTTTTAAAGAGGAATGTCTGGATGCTTATCTCAATTTTTTCAGGACTGAGAGCTAGTGATTGAAGATACAAAAGTCCAAATATGCATAAGAAATAATCTGTCGGCACTGTGTTGATAGAGAAATACTCAGAAGTCTTTTAATTCTCATAGACTAGATAGGTAATAATATGGTACAATGTCTTCTCTTCCCTTTTTTCCTAGCTTGAACCCTGCTAGCCAACTATTCTGAGCATGCATTTCACCTTTGGAGAATGTACCTCATAAACAGACAGTAAAGGATGAAGGTGGGAAAAAAAAGTCCAGCTAGATTAATCACAGGTTTCAAAAAACAAACCTAAGCCAAATGTCCTCAAATCCCTGTCAGGACAAGCTAAAGCTGCTTGCCCCCAAACAGATCCACCACACCAAGGTGTGAGTCAATTTTACTCTTTACAAAAACCTTTCTTTTTTATTTTTATTTTTAGTTACATTTTATTAACTCTGTATCCCAGCTGTATCCCCCTCCGTCATTCCCTCCCAGTCCCACCCTCCCTCTGTCATCATGGTGGGATCTAGAAAAGATCATTCAGAGTGAGGTATCCCAGAAGGAGAAAGACACATATGGTATATACTCACTTATATAGACCTATAACATAGAATAAACAAAAACCTTTCTTTTCTGATCTCAGAGAGTATCAAAAACAGAGACAGGAAAACAGGGAATAGTGTGCACATTGGAGGAAGTTAGGACTAATTGGCTGCCCAGATGGAGGATTTAACTGGACTGAGGACAGAATTCCCAGATAGGGAAGAAAAATTGATTTGTGTTTCCCCATATTTTGTCAGTGTGGTCTTCTTACACAATGCCTGAATTTAACCATACACCCACTATCCCACTGGCCTCTCTGTCCTATTCCAATATTCTGACCATCATGAGGCCAGTAAGAACCCATTTGGATTCTGTTGGAAGATGCCTTTGACATCCCCCAGAGTATCTCCTGCTCCTGTTGTCACAGTACCTAAAATGTATCATTACAACTTCATTTCTTTGAGTGAAGCATTACATTCAACTTTTCAAATTGATGAATGTTTTTTCGATTGGTAATACCTAAATGTAAACTCATTTGTCAGATTAGTTTCTTCTCTTACATAAGATCCCTAAAGCACTGGCAGATTCCTGGTTGTCTAGACAGGAGACAGAAGGACAGATGGAAATGAGAAAGGCGTGGAAAAAAAGGCTATGAGGGTGCAAAGGGAACAAGGTATGAAAATACCAGAAAGGGGCCTCATTTATCCATCAATTTGGCAAGGGCATACTTCATATCACATGCTGTCCTTGCTCTGCCTCTCCTGGAATAAAGATAAATTGGGGGCAGAGACTGAAGAGAGATGCTTGGAGGCCACTCACACCTTTCTAAGGTCAGCCATCCTGTCTCTGCTTTAGTTTGTTCCTGGACAGGGCAAAGCCATTTAGTTCCTCATTTCCAGAAGGCACTTCAACCCAGGAGCCAGAGAGCTTAGTAGACAGCAAAGTACTCCTGATGCCAAAGTCATGAGCTCAGTCTTCATACGGGCCAGTGAAGCTTGCATAGCCATTACCCAAGCAGTGTGCTCCACGGGGACCTGAGTGAGACACTGTGTCTGGATTTACTCAAACCTAACCCCACACAGTCCAAAGTAAGTCATTGGCATCATTCTCCTAGACAAAAGACAGTCTGCTTCAAAAGGACACCTTTGATAGCAGAATTCCACCTGGGAGAATATGTAGTTCTCTAGTCCTACACCCTCCCACACACTAAGGTTTCATACACAAATGAAGTCATTCTGATCTCACTCTATTTAAGAAGCTACCATTGCTAACACAAAATCAACATGCTGATTAATAGGTGCAATTAACACGGATGTCTCTTCCCTCACCAAATAACAACAACAAAACAAACAACCCAATTCTTTGCAGAGATGTTGAATGTTGAAAGTAGTGAAGATCTGCTGAGCTTGGCAATTTCCAATAGTACTCATCCAGAAAGGAGTCCAAGTAAAACGCATTGCCAACAGTGCAGGAAAACTCATTCCACAGCAGTACACTAAAAATTTAAATGTCACCAACACAGTCCCATAGTCTTCTACTGATGATTGAAAACACAGTCTGTATTTCTCTTTCTTTTGCCCAGGTAGGCCACAGTCCAAAATCCCCTAGTCTCTAACCCAATTTTTCCATGCAATAATCCATCAGTGGTGCTGATGAAACAAACACCCCAACCCAGGCCCTAGTGGCTAACACTGCCAACATTTGTCTCCACAATGGTTAGTATTTCTAAAGAAACTGCCCCCCTATTGGGAAACCTGACAAAGCTGTGTCTGAAGTGGAAGCCTTTGTCCTTTGCTTAAGTCAGCCAACTGACTGAAAGCTCTTTTTGTTTTTTCCATACCTAGAAGTTTCTTTTCTCTAGCTGGATGCAAGCAGGAACTAAGAGGATTTTTAGAAGCAGAAGCAAATGACAAGCTTAAAGGAGTTTTCTACCTGTCACTAAGAATGTTGTCCTTCCCAAGTTAACTCAGCAATAGCTAAAGTGCTCTTAATATTCTTTTCACTACCTTTAAAAGACCTTACTAATCTTCAAGACATTCCTTTGGGAAGATAAGAATGCGTTGTTGGTGATGATACCTATTCAGCAAATAACTACTACCTATGTCTAAGGCGCTACAGGGCTTCAAGGAGGTAAAAATGGTTTTGTCTCTGTTTTCTTTTCAGTGGCTCCAGCAGACTTTTCATGCTTGAAGTAGCACTTGTTTCCACAAACCCATCCAACTTGTTTTTCTACTTGAGTTGGGAAAAGTTTGACCAGGTTAAACTAACATGCTGTCACAGACATCAGCAGACACTAAAAACAACACAACCCAGTAGAAACTCAAGAAGGAGGATGTCACTAGGAACTCTGTTATTAGAAAGCAACACTGATTCTGTAGCAACTTGCTTCTTCAGAAGGACAAATGAATATGTAGAAATCCAACAGGCAAAGGCCTCCAAGCAGTGGGGAGAAGATAGACTTGCAAATGGCACCATCAACTGTGGTATAGTTTACAACAGAGATCAGACTCCTCCGGATTTGATATTTTTTTCTAGCCTCAAATACGATCAAGGTTATAGGTTACATGCTTAATATTGAAATAAAATATGTCATGGGACTGGGACCTTTGGTCTGTAGTGATAGAATTGTCACTTTTAGAGAGCAGAAGGAAGTTTGGGGATTTGTTTCAGCCACTCAAAAAGGCTTGGTAAATAGCCTTTCAGAAGCACTCTCCTTGGAAGATTCTGTTAATTTATGGCACCTCACCCTATCACCAAAGTCTATACAGAAGAATCTACAGAAGTTGAAAACAATGGAATCAAGTTTTAAAAACAGAACCCAGCAATAACCCAAGTGGGGATGGTTAGCCAATAAAACAGAAGTCTAATGAAAGGCAGATGACTGTGCTAGATTTTAAAGAACAAAGAGAAATACAGGGTAAGACTACGACTTGTTGAGGTATTGTCAAAATCCTGAAAGATTTTTCATATGGGAAATAATGCCTAACCCTTCTAAATGTTTTCAAATCTCTTTCTTGGATATAATGGATTTCGAGAAAGTGATGGGACGAGTAATCATGGAACACTTAAGAAAGGAAGCAGTAGCTTCAGGAAGCAGCAAAGGCTTGAGATGATCCCTTAGGCTTAACACAGGGGGAAATGCTTTACAGGCTGGTTTGCAGAATGTCATTTGCTACTTAACCAAGGTTGCCAAGAAAACTGTTGGAATTCTTCATAATTAGCTCAGCTATTTGGCTTAAATATAAAACACTGACTCTGAAAATTGATTCCTGTACCATATCAGTCTGAACATCAAAAAGCACCTCACTTTAATCATAATTTTAGAGAATTCCAATGGCAAAATCCTGAGATGACCCCTCAGTACAAAGTCTCTGAAAACAGAAAGTAGCCTCAGTTAAAGCATTTTATGAAGGGACACTCACACAATCTTAGAGCTTGCTTTCCTTCCTCTGCCTTCCAGACCTATGACATGGAGCACACTTTCTACAGCAATGGTGAGAAGAAGAAGATTTATATGGAAATTGATCCCATGACCAGGACAGAAATATTCAGAAGTGGAAATGGCACTGATGAAACATTGGAAGTCCATGACTTTAAAAATGTGAGTTGACTGTTTCTCCTGAGGCTTTCCACTTAAAATACTACAATCATTGAAGAACATTTAAAAATTAGCCTTTAAACCTTCATTTCATTTATGATAAAGGTTTCCCTTTGAATTCAAAGTTTGCTAATCTGTGGTTCTGATAAGTCATGGAACTCATTAACTGTGACAATTACAGGAAACTAATTGTATTATTGTTTGTCTCTTTTATAGGGATACACTGGCATCTACTTCGTAGGTCTTCAAAAATGTTTTATTAAAACTCAAATCAAGGTGATTCCCGAATTTTCTGAACCAGAAGAGGAAGTCGATGAGGTATGTGAGGAAAAATGATGGTAGGCTTCATTTACTGGCCAATCATTATGCTAAATGCTCTCTTCTCATTGGATCCTCAGTCTTGTAAATAGGCACTATTATTATTCCCATATTCAGATATAGGATCTGAGATTTAGAACTGAAGAGTGACTTGCTAAAGGTACACTATACAAATAAACAAAATAAAAAATATTTAAAAAAAAAAAAGCTATGTACTTTTGTTCCTGAAAGGAATTAATCAGAGGAACAAAAGCAATCACGAATATAAGAAAGACTTTAAGAAAATTAGCCCACGGATGAAGAGATAGCTCAGGGACCCTAGTTCAATTCCCAGAAGATGCATCAGTCAGCTCACAACTGTAACCCCTACTCCAGGGGGATCCAACACATCTGGCCTCCAGAGGCAGCTTCATTCTCAAGCACACATATATCCCAACAAAGTTGCACATGCACACACAAAATAAAAATAAAAATAAAAATAGGGACTGGAGATCTGGCTCAGAGGTTAATAGTAGTGGCTACTATTCCAGACAACCCAAGTTTTCAATTCTCAGCACCCATATGGTAGCTCACAATCATCTGTAACTCTAGTTACAGGGGATCTAATGCTTTCTTTTGGTGAAACAGATATACATGAGGGTAAAATACCTTACACATAAAATAATTTTAAAACTAAATAATAAAAATAGTGTTTTAAAACAGAAGGCTACAAAGGGGTCATACCACTTCTGTCACATATCAATACTCAGCTTATTCACCTTACCATTTTATGCGGAGGTGCTAATTTGATAATCCACTGTGCTCCTCCGAAGAACCAAAAACAAAGGTGAAAACTTCAACCTATACTGATGTCTAGGACACTGCTCCAATTAGTGAATGAACGATCCTAGGAAACTATGGGAGATGGGTCATCACTTCCTAAAATAGATCAATCTTTGCAGTCCTAGAGGTTCTTCTGGTTTAATTTAGTTTGCTTTTATGTTTACAACTGGAAAATCTAAGGTGGCAATGGTATAATAGAGCTTATGTACATTGAAATCTCATTTTCTTCTTTCTCCCATCTTTCTTTTTAATGTTCTTCCAACTGGTCACTTTCATGTTTATCTCCTTTATTACATGCTGGTGGGTTAGAGTATTTTTCCTTACCCAAGACTAGTCAGAGCTATTGTTAGTTCTCACGTTACCTTTTTTGTTGTTTGTTTGTTTGTTTGTTTGTTTGTTTTTGGAGACAAAGTTTCTCTGTGTAACAATGGCTGTCCTGGATTCGCTTTGTAGACTAGGCTGACCTCAAACTCACAGTAATCACTCACCACCACACCCGGCCTGACATAACTTTTTTATGCTACTGTTATCTCAATGGCTAAAAATGTTACAGACTCCTTTTCCTAGAATTTCCCTTCAAAAGAAGAAAGTATCTCTAGAGAGGATGTTTTGCTGCCGAGGTCTATGGTAGTGGTAGATTTTGTAGAGTTTTCTTTTGTTTCTAATAATCTTGTACTAGATGCTTCTGAAGAATAGATCAATTTACCAGAAATTAGTTAGTATGGGGGCAATCATAACAAGAAAGAAGATTAGGACTTAAAAGATACTATAGAGCCAGAGAGAAGGGTCAGCAGGTAAAGACACCTATAGTCAACCCTGATGACTGAAGTTCAATTACCAGGAGCTACATGACACAAGGAGAACCAGTTCCAGTGAGGTTGTCCTCTGACCTCCACATATGCACTGTGGTATGTACCCTGCGCCCCCAACACAATTAAATAAAAATGTTTTAAAAGCTACTATATAAAATATCATGAAAATGTTTACAGAAAGCAATGTATTGAGTATAGACAAGCAGCAATGAAAGCCTAACTTGATATAATAGGATTTTTCTGGGGTGATATAGAAAAAAAGGCCCATGTTTTCTCTGTGCCCTAATTTTTTCTTTTGTTAATTTGGCGATAACTCTTAAATTTCACATGTATTCACCTGATGATAGTAAAATTATTTCATCTCCAAGAAAACTGAATTTCACACTACAGATATTTTTTTTAGTGCAACAAATTGTGGCCATGAATTTAAAAAGCTCTTTTGCTCTGTACTTCATTCAGCACTGTATCAATGGCATGCACATGAAAACATTCAGAGACACTATCTAAATCGCCCCAAGTTTGCTAACAAAGCTAGGATGCACACCAACCTCTTTTTCTCCAATCCCTTTCAATGTGTTCCAAGGCCTTTACAGACTTGAGGACGAAAGAGCCAGGACTTTAAAGTTGTGACTAGTTCAGACAGAAATTATACAAAGGCATATTTTGGAAAATAAATAAACACACTGAAAAATCATGAAGCCAGGAAGAACCAAAAGAGGTAAAAACAACAAAAAAAAGACCTTATTAAGAGCAGGGGTAAAGTGATGAAACCTTATTGACAAGTTGGTAAGATCTAGATATTCAAAGCAACTACTACTGGCACTAGAAATGGAAGAGAATGTATTTTTAACACAACAGTGAAGCTCTGTAAGCCAGAGTCCTCTGTGAGATAAACCTTAAGCATCTAGAAAGAATGGGATTAATAAGTCTACTTTCCATAAATGGAAGATTTTAAAATATGAAAACACAAATTTCTTGTAAATTCAAGATAATAGGTCAATTGGCTATTTAACAGATCTCACTAGTTTAGATTATAAGAGTTATTTTCAGCTTGAGGTGAAATATTGTGTTCAACCTTAGCCATACTAGTAAAACAAGGTAGGTATTCACCCATTTAAAGTGGAGAAATGTAAATCATTCATAGTTGCAGAAGCTCAAAGTAAAGCTTGTATGGCCCAGGTAGTGCCCAGAACACAATGGAAAGCCTTTCAAGAGAAATGGCTGCAGACAAAGCTCTCATTTTAGTGAGTAACCTTCCTTCCAGAACCAGAAGGAAGATATTCAGTCATTAGCCTCTTTATGGGAACCTACTGTCAGCATGACATGGAGACAGTTCACCAGCAGCTAACACCAGCATTGCACCCATTACTAAGGAATAAAACATACTGCTTTTCAGCACTCCATAATAGTTAAATTGCTGCACTGATTTCTCTTCAATCCCAATCCTGACCCACTTTCTTCTTTCAGAATGAAGAAATTACTACAACTTTCTTTGAACAGTCAGTAATTTGGGTTCCTGCAGAAAAGCCTATTGAAAACAGAGACTTCCTAAAAAATTCTAAGATTCTGGAGATTTGTGATAATGTGACCATGTACTGGATCAATCCCACTCTAATAGCAGGTATGGTATCCTACCCAAAATCTATTCCTTCCAATGATGTTAACATGCTAACATGGTGATACATACCTATATTCCCACTGCCCAGGAGTCTGAAGCAGGGAAATTTTGAGCTCATGGCCAACTTAAGCAACTATCTCAAAGAGAGAGAGAGAGAGAGAGAGAGAGAGAGAGAGAGAGAGAAAGAAAGAAAGAAAGAAAGAAAAGAAAGAAAAAGAGGTTAATGTTTCCAGCATTGAGAGACCACATTTCTATGAAAACAAATCATCAGTTTATACCTTCTTGGATGAAACCGTATATGGTGACTGTACAAGTTATACATCAGATGAATTAATGCTTGCAGGCTTTTAAAATATCTCAGGAAAGGAAAGGTAATACCACCTTAATATGACCAATGATAGCAGAAAGCTAATCTATCTTTCTTTGTACATCTATATTCATTGCAGCAGGGATACCAGACTTTTCCTTAAAACCACAGTGGGACCAACTTATGAACTGGAGAGAAAAGAGACCAAACAGTACTCATGTCTCAAGAATTCTCATGTCAAATGGCACTCTCCTCCAGAATATAGGGCAATCATGGCAATACAGTTTCTTTGTGTATGTTTGAGGAATCATAAACGGAATTGAAGGTTAGAGGTCCAGAGCAGAAAAGTAGAACTTTCAGTTCAAGAAGACAAAGGTTCCTAGGCACGTTATTCTGTCCAGTTGAAACAGACTTTAGCCTCCCTCACTCTGCACAAAGACAGTATAGTAATAGTACTCAAGTCAGGACAGTCGTAACAATGTAGGCCTCTATTAGTATTATTTGGAGATTTTTGTCTGGTTTTGCTTTTAAAGATGATAAAATGCAATCTGTTATCCTGGACTAAATGCTGCAAAAACAAAGAACATGAATGGAAATATTGATGAATAAAGTCTGTAGTTTAGTTAATGACAATTAACCAATGCTTACTTATTAGTTTTGACAATTGTACCACAATTGTGTAAGATAACAAGAAAAAGAGTGAAAAAGTATGGGGGAACATTTGCTTTTGGCAAGTCTTCCACAGACTAAAGTTAAAAATAAATGAGACACTAGGGGTAGGGGGCAGAGAGATTTCTCAGTGGTTAAGGACACTTATTGCTCTTGCAAAGGACTGGGTTCAACTCCCAGTACCTACACGGTGATTCACAACCATTTTCAACCCCAGTTCTAAGTTATCTGACCCCATCTTCTGCTTTCTGTGGACACTGTACCTATGTGGTACACAGGCATGAATGCTGGTGAAACGTCTATATATGTAAAAAATAAATCTAAAAATAGTGAGACACAAAAGAGAATTGATGGGAGGGCAGTTTACACCAAGTCAAATCATGCAATCAAGAAATGTTTTTGAGCACTTGCAGTTAAAGCATTGAGAAAGGCAAAAGTCCCTTGTCTTGTTGTAAATTGACTCTACTACTATGAAAAGGAGTAAATGTCTGATGCCAAACAAGCAATGAAGTTGGTGAAAAGCAAAATAGTTTTCAGACTATCCACTTCAAGAGCTAGGAAACGCAGGCCATGCATGCCTAAATTTTACCAGTCAAAAGACAGACAAAAATAACTCTCCCAAACTTTTGTTTTCCTAAACCCTTCTCTCTTTCATGCTTGCAAAGTAATGGCATCCCGATTTTGTATTTGCTATCTTAGTTTCAGAACTACAAGACTTTGAGGAGGATGGTGAAGATCTTCACTTTCCTACCAACGAAAAAAAGGGAATTGAACAGAATGAGCAATGGGTAGTCCCGCAAGTAAAGGTGGAGAAGACCCGTCACATCAGACAAGCAAGTGAGGAAGACCTTCCAGTAAATGATTATGTGAGTGCTATCCACTGCACTCATTTTTCAGGGCAGAAATAAAAGAGCTCTCATAAAACTTCTTACAAAGTTGTCTCAAAGCAATTGGAAAAAATATCATAGTTTTAACAACCATTTAGGAAACTTGCACTCAGCCAGGCGCGGTGGTGCATGCCTGTAATCCCTGCACTTGAGGCAGAAGCAGGAGAATGGCTTTGAGTTAGAGGTCAGCTTGGTCTACAAAGGCAGTCCAGAAGAACCAAAGCTACAGCAGAGAAACCCTGTCTCGATAAAACCAAAACCAACCCCCCCCCAAAAAAAAAGGAAAGAAAGAAAAAAAAACCAAACACTTCGTATTCTCCAAGGAGTACATTCAAAAACAATTTTGAATCTTGATTGCATAGCTGTATATCTATGATATGGCTAAGAAACTTAATTTCTCACCAGCCTCCCAACTCAGTCACATTTGGGGGGTGGGGAGAGCACAAAAGCCCTCTCTTGTTTGGTGGGACCTCTCCCTAAAGAGTTTTCTTTCCAATACTGTTTTCTTTCAGACTGAAAATGGAATCGAATTTGACCTCATGCTGGATGAGAGAGGTTATTGCTGTATTTACTGTCGTCGAGGTAACCGCTACTGCCGCCGTGTCTGTGAACCTTTATTAGGTTACTACCCATATCCATACTGCTACCAAGGAGGACGAGTCATCTGCCGTGTCATCATGCCTTGCAACTGGTGGGTGGCCCGCATGCTTGGGAGAGTCTAATAGGAAGTTTGAGGTCAAATGTTTAACCTTCTGTTAGCCAGCATATAATAAATGCATGCTATTCAATGAGTTTCTGCCTATGAGGCATGTGCCTCCAAGGAGCCTATCCTCCAGAATTACTTGTAGGTTATCCTCTCTTCATGTTCTAATAAACTTCTACATCATCATCATCAATGGTGTTGTTGCTGCTGAACACAATGGGTAAGTGTTTGCTGAGAATACTTCTGGCAATTGAAATAGAATAGACCTGCCTGATGGATGGCAAGATGCCTGTTTGAACTATATCAACAGACTTGGGTAAAGCGTAACATTTCCAAATCCCATATTTTTACTGTGCTGGTCTGACAAAGTACAAATGAAGGGGTATGACAAAATGTCCCCAGAAACAATGAATAGAAGCATAAACTTTTGTGCATAGTCCCATTGCTTAATTACCTGAAAGGTATAATGTGGAGTTCCTTAAGTGTCTATAAAGCTGCTGGTCAGGCAATTGCTGAGTCACAGCAGGCCAACATTAAACATTCTAACTGCTCAGACTCAGCAAAGGAGAAAGCTAGCTTAGCAAAAAGGGTCTTCGGTTTCCCTCCTGTGAATAGGAACTCAACTTTGGACAAATTCAACATTTTAGAACCTTCACATCTGACTTCTCTTTAGATCAGATTCTGGCTACATAATGTTCCAAGGTAATTTTCTGAAACATGAAGACCCATAAATAAAATTCACAGAAACAGACATACAAAAATTACTGAGGTGAAAAATTAAATGGGCTTTTTCCTTCCAAAATACAAGGAATTAACAATTTGCTACTTAAAAGAGTGGTGAGAACTAACTCCCAATTACCCCATATTTTCCTTAGGAATAAGAAAGATTACAAAAGTGAAAGAAAAAAAATTGGGTAGAAAGTAATGTTAACTTTGATGTCCCTGCAAACTCAAGTTTCAAAATTCATGCTCTGCCAATCTGTCATCCCTTGTAATTCCATTTGAAGATAACATCCTTCATTGCTCAACTAAACATCATTGTGTCATGACGATATCTGTCTGGAAGTTTCCATCAGATAAAATCCTCACCAAAGTATCTGTGGATCAGGAAGTCATATTCTCCTACTTCACAATTGAGAAAATACATAGATACATCCATGACCAAGATTGACTTAGTATTAGCAAGTTACTAATTAATAGCATATGTAACATACTTATATTATTATTAGTCATGAAATGAAAGTACAATCAAGTATATCTAACAATGTTCCCTTTATTATTAATTACTTAAAAGGTCCCAGACTTTTTTGACTACTTCAATTATAACAGAAATTAATTTATGTTTGAAATAGAAAAATGTGAAAGATGAGATTAATTGGGACTATATGAACTTAGTGGTATTAGCTATCTTTTTAAATAAATTATTCTTTTTAACAGTTTCTAATGATTAGCCAGTGATTTAAAGTTACCGAGACACTCAAAATTGGGTAGTCTCTAGGATAGTGTAGGTACTGTGCTCTGTGGATGATACAAATCAAATTGAAGGTATTTCCTAAGGATAAGAATCAGTATAGATGATGGCACATACAGGAATGTATATAAAACTAACTACAATTGTATTTCCTAGGTATATGTCCATATATATACACTTATACACACCTACACATGTTAGAAAGTATAGAGTGTTCTATGTAATAATTTTGGATTCAGAATTTCTAGTCACATTTTCCCCTCTTTTCTTTCTCTTTCTTCCCCGACCCGTCTCTATTCATTCTGGAATACGAACCCAGAGTCTTGAGTATGTGGGGCACAGAAAACAAATAACATACCTCAACCTGCTACTAATTTCACAGTAGGAAAATACAAGTCCTTTAATGAGGCAGACATTCAGTCCAAACAGGGAAAGAAAAAAAGCATGTTTAAGAAGCATTCAAACCATCTCTTGGTTTACAGGGAAGAAAAACAGCACCACAATAAGCAAGTGATTCCACACACATTAGTGTATTTCAGCTTAGGTACAAGCCAGAATGGAAAAGGAGACCATGTGTTCACACTCCTGCCATAGTGTTTTGTCCACCCTTGAGTGCTGTGTAAAGACTTTATGCCTTCTTCTACAGTCATATCAACTCAGAGGTAGAGCAGCTTCACTTCCTTCTGCTTCTCTTCCCTATACCAACTTCCCAATCACAAGGAGCAACACCAAAGAACCACCAAGCTCCCTGCGTATGCTTCACCTGTGTGTATGTATGTACACTGTATGCATGCCTAGTTCCCTCAGAGGCCTGAAGAGGGCACAAGAGCCTTAAAATGGAGCTAAATGCAGCTATCTATAAACCACCATATGTGTTCTGGAAATGCAACTCCAGTCCTCTGCAAGAATAGCAAATGCTTTTAACTGCTGGGCCATCTCTCCAACCCCCTGTATTCGGTATTTTAAATAATCTCTCTGCTGGCAGAAATTTAAGTATATCTCTATCATCTATGCCAGGACCTTATCAAATGTTCCCAACTCTCCTTCCTAAACTACCCCTTAATTATGTTTATAGTCTAGTTCACACTCAGCCTTAACTGTGACAACTTGTCCATGGTGAAATTCCCAGGTTGTAGACTAAATATAGCATAAATGCTTTTACATGAAGTTTACTTTTCACATATAGATTTTATTTGTTGTTTGTTTCAAGACAGACTTTTTTTTCAATGTAACCTTGACTGTCCTGGACTCAATTTGTAGACAAGGTTAGCCAGGAACTCATGGGGATCTGCCTGCCTCAGCCACCCTGAGTGCTGGAATTATAGGCATGTGCCACTGCACCCAGTTTCATATAGATTTTATTGTCATTTCCTTACTTGAGGGTCTGTCCTAGCTACTTACTACATTAAAGTTCAGATGTAACATACATACAAGATACCCTTAATCAAATCACTCTCAACAGCCACCTCCCATCCCCTTTTTCCTGTCAGTACAATTTCTTTCCCCCTTGGCAATCCTCAAGCACCTTAGCTTCATAATCTGCTTGTCCAGTCATCTCCTCATCCCTTTCCCTCTTACCTACACATGAAATCTAAATCTTCTGTATTTCAGTATGGGATCTAAAGTATATGGGACACTCGTAAATATATACTTTTGAAGGCAATAAGATAGAAGAGGAAGAACAAGGTAAAAAGAGAGGAGATTATAAAAAAGCACAACCACAAAAAGTTAGCCTTGATATCTGTTCAAACTGGGGATGAATGTTCTTATCTTACTTAAATCCACTTCTATATTGGATTTCTTCTGACAATTCCAACAGTGAGGAATGCCTCTAATCCCAGAGTGATGGAATGTTTCCATGATTACCCACAGTCCAGGCATCTATTTCCATTATAAAACTGCAGGCTTTTGCATTTCAATCTCAAGTTCCTTTTATTCTAAGTATAAGGGGATGGTGGGGGACAGCAAAAGGCATACCTTGTGTGAAATCAAAAGAAATATTGTGTTAGCGTCCAGATTCTTTGTGGATCTAAATTCCAATTAAGAAAAGTCAGGTGAGGTGAAACCATCCATTGCTTCCACTCAGCAGAAGGACACTATGCATTAGTGTGCTCAGTGCCTTCCTACAGACCTAAAATGGCTCTCTGGCAGGACTAGGGGCAAAGAAAAATCTATTTTGAGTTTTTATATATAAGGCTCACTGTCTGGCTGAGTCCAAAACTGTCACTTTGGCTCCTAAAGTCTAACGCTGAAAGCTTGCTGAGATAAATATGGACCTTCTCATTCGGGCTGTCAGGAAATGCATGGATCTACTTTATTTATACCCTTAATATGATTTCATTTTGGCTTTTCTTTTTTTGAAGAAGTTTCGTCTAGGGCTTAATTTTGCTGACAGCATGCTGTTCTCTAACAAGAAAGAAAAGTGACTCCATATTCAAAATCAGGTATGAGTGTATATTCAAAAATTATTGTCCCTACCATCACAGAAGCCCTGTTCTAATGTCTCCTAGAGCATTTTAAATCAATGCCCATGAAAACTACTTATCAAATAACTGTACTTGTGATTTCTTTAGATGAATATTCTCTTTTGGTATTTACAGAAGTAAATATGATTTGTGTACTTGCTACTTTGGTATTTGTTTATGTTTAGCTATATTTTCCTCTACTTTCTTAACGTCATACTCATGTCTAGTGTCCTTGGTTGAAGAGCTTTAAAAGACAGGCATGTCAAACCAACTGAAACAGATCAAGCCATAAGAAGTCCTTCAACCAAAACAAATAGCAGCAAAATCCGAAAGATTCCAGCAATTCCATAGTGCTGAGCTGATCTCTATCTGACAGTGATATTATTATACTGTTTACATTTATACTTCCTTAATTGATGCTATCATCTGCCATTATGAATTTTCCGCTTACAGCAGTATTTCTGCTATTCTTTCAAAGGTATTGGCTACAAAAATATTACTCATGTTTACATCCTTATCAGTCTTCATTGAGCCAAGAGAAAAACATTTGCCAGGGACAAGGGACTTTAGGGGACAGGACCTAACCATTGTTGAGCAAAGAAAAAGCAGCAGTGTGTCAAGAGATAGAAAACATGATTTGAGCTTGTTTATTTTACAAAGGAGCTCAGATGGCTTGCCAATTCATAAACTCATTTTCTCACCAGAAATCTATTCCTTGGTGTGAACGCTGCCTATTATATAGGTTTTGCTTCTCAAAACTCATTAAATTTTGGAGCAAGACCATTATAAAATGATAATATTCATTAAAGAAGTTTTATTTTGATGATAAATTGACTAGATAAAATTTTGTGTTCTCCATGATGAAAATCAAAACCTGTCTAAAAGAAAAGAGTAAATCTCATGGCACATTACATACAGAGCAGATGTGAAAAGTTGAAGGCAGAAAAAAACTTTTATTTTACTCTCATTCAAGGAAATCTCTCTTTTCTATAAAACAGCCAATAATATACACATATTTTTCAATATCTTCTTTTGTACCACTAGTAGATTCATCAGTCATCCCAATGAATGTAGATTTGAACG